TTAGACCGAAAAGATATAGCATGAATCAAGCAAACTTCAATAACTGTTACAAAGAGCTAATAAGTGTAGGTTGACAGAAACAGGTGGAAAAGGAAAAGGCATTAGCAAGAATAAGGCATCATATATATTTAAAGATGGAACACACCTGCTATCAGTATGAGCCTGAACATATTTAATTCTCTGTAAAATCAGGCGGCACTGATGCTTGCTCACGGAATCGGCCAAATTACTGCCTCTGAATTCCTCAAGCTCTTTGGACAGTAACTGGCCAGCCCTAGCATTGCGGGATCCCAACCGCTGAGCACTTAACAGAACTGCTTGAACATCTTGGAGTCTATTTGTTGTACTTGCAGATGAATCCATGTTGAAAAGAACTTTGTGGATGTTTGATATTATCATGTTCAGAGGATCTTCAGGGTCATCAGCTAGAAGAGGATCCAACCCATCTAAGTTAATATGTTCGGCGATAGCCCATATGACTCGTGGACATACTCGTTGGGTATGCACCTAATCAAGTGATGCAGAAAGTTAAACACAGAGAGTCTGATTAAGGCCCAACTGAACAATTTCAAACAGGTAAGGACAGACAATTAAGATTAAGATAAAATTTAAGGCCTGAAAGATTGTTTGAATAGATAGACACTGTAAAACTACAACTAACTTTTTCCTTAAAACTAGTGTTCCCCTCGAAGAAAAGATGGTGTAGTCAACAACCTAGATTGCTCGATAAAAAAATACTTGCAGAAAGAACACAGAAGCTCCATCGATGTTTACAAATATAATATTATTGATTCAAAATCAGCAATCTCGTCATAATAGCACTAAATATCAACCGACTGACATTAGCAGCTGAAGTTAAACTTTGGTTATAAACTAAGATCCCAGGCCTACATGAGGAACAAACAAACTATCAATAAGATTTAATGCTTTGGTGATTGAGAAAACACTTGCGTTAAATAAAGATTTAATGCTTTGGTGAGTGAGACCTAATAGTATGTGTGTACCTCTCGAAGATCCTTGACAAGTTGACGTTGAAGATTCTGCAATCTTGTCTCATTTAAGATTTGATCTTGAGAAGCACCATCTTTTACAGTTTTTACACCTCCCCTGGTATCATAGATATGGCACAACCTAACTAGCAACTTAAGATAGCAGTCAATTGCATATGTCCTGCCATCGCAGTCCCACTTAACACAAGGCTTACAAACTTCCACAACCTCCAGAGCTGGTTCTGTCCAGTTTAGCGCACCATAAGCAGTTCCATAAGCCAGAGCCCCAATCACTCTGCTCTCCATTCCGGAGTTCTTTTGCTCAGGTAAAGGTAGAGATAGCTGGAAGCAACTTTCCACCAATGAAGCAACCAGCTCCTCTCTGAATAAACTTTTACTGGTCACACTGTTGAGATCATCTCTGATCCTTGCATCTTCGAAGAGAGAAGCAATATCAGTTCCTACAAGAGGTTTTTGGCCTCTTCGAACACTTTCCTTCGCAAAAAGGTCAACACAAAGTGCCGTTCGACAAATACACGCTAAAGCATGCATACGGTCTGATTCTGCCCTCAAATTTCTAACCATAACAAGCAGCCTTTTGAACAATGAAACCTTCAAGCAGAAACTTTAGAAGTATCAATATGTATCCGACACCAACAATATTCCACAAATTGAAAACAACATATCTTTCAAAGGGCTTTTCCCTAGGAGACATCTCAATTCCGCTCTGTGTAAAAATAAATTTGGACAACTCTACTGATAAATTCCAACATCTTAAAACCCCAGAAGCATTACTTTCTCGTCACCTAGTATCCAATCCACTAACAGATTCAGAATTCTGAAACTAGGAGCCCAAATTAAAATGAAGTCATCATAGCAAAAACTATACCTGCATATGAAGATCAAGAAGATGGAGATTCGTAACAACTGCTCTAACAATACTCTCCCTCGCTGAAGAGAACTCTTGCCGGTCCCAAAGAGTCAGAATCGCGATAATCGACTGAGAGGCCCACTCGGGCTTCCCTCCAGGCACATCCGCCAAATATAACATATTAATTCCCACGTCAAATATCAGCGCAGGATCCAAAGAGGAACCCAGGAACGGCGCCAAATGCGTCACCACATCAGAAACCCCAACAAGCTTATCAGCATTGGAGTCCACCACGGTGCCATTAGCACCACCTGCAGCCTTGGAGAGCTTCCTGATCACCTCTACATTCCCTGATGCCACAGCCTTCACAGAGTACACGAGTGGGAAAACAGTAGCCCTGAAGGTTTCTACTGGCAAGATCAATGAGCGCGACATCAGAGCATTTCTTCTCTTCCAAACGAAATCCACCATGGAAGACACCCATTTCGACCTAATCGCTACTGAATTCTCACTATCCACTAACTTATCCCCAGCTAACCTGCTCATTCGCTTGGAATTGAACTCCTGAAACAACCTCCCGACGGATTCGAACGCAACTTTGGCAACGGCATCAGATTTATCCAGCATGTTCTGCCCAATACGCGACCACCAACTAGAAACCTTCTCCAGCAAATTCACGTTGTTCTCGCACAGGGTGACCAAATCGTCCCGCGCCAAAACGCATCCCAGCGTCTCGGTGATCGAGAACCGGAGGTTATCGCTGGGAGAATCGAAGCAGCTGGCGATCTCGGTGCTGCAGTCGGTGATGACTTTGGAGAGGGAGTAGGACGGCATGGCAGCGAGGATGGAGATGGCGGCGGCGGTGACGTCCGGGTCGGGGAAATGGAGGTCGTTCCGGACTCCAACGCGGACGTTGTCCCACAGATCGGCGGTCAATCGAGTGGATCTAATCAAGTCGAAGGCGAGCTTCTTGCAGATGGCGGAGGCCGGCGCGGCAACGATCTCGTCGACGGCGGTCTTGGCGATGACGGAGACATCTCGGCCGGCGGCTGACTGCTGGAGGGCTTGCAGTATGGCTCCCGACTGGCGGAGAGCGTCGTTGGAGCGGAGGTCCGCTTGGATCTGGGCGAAGAGTATGTCCATTATCTTGGTCTTTGGCTGTTCAAAGACCAAGATTCGTATGCTTCGTCAGGCCGCTAATTCTCGCCGACGGCAGAAGGAGAAGAAGAGAGGGGCGGCGGGAGTGGAGTTTCCGGCAGATTAGGACAAGAAAATGGTTGTGGAGCTCTGAATTGGAATCAATGGCGGATTCTTCTCGAAAAATTTTGAGGGAAAATTGAGAGTTGGAAGGAAACACTCTCTATGGTCGCTTCTTTTGCTTTCTTCGCGCTGTCATAGCTTTGCTTTTTCGTTTTTCTTTTTTGGCCGAAAATGAAATAATTTCAGTAACTTATTATAAGTTAACGAAAGGTGATTGGTTATAAACTTGGGCCTGTAGAGCCCCTTGAGCTGCGGGCTGAAGGAGCAGGCCCATTATGTGTACCGTTTACATTCTTCATCAAGTATAGCGTGTGTGGCCGGCCCAACTACTTCCAGCAATTAGTTTTTTTTTTTTTTGTCTAAATTACCCTTCGGATAAGATGAGTTAAGGGTAGGGTACCACAATAATAGATACTTCCATCGACTAACAGACCAAGAAGATACAAGAAATCGTAAAAACCATAATGAAGTCCAGGATAACGAAAGACATTCTGTGTGGAGTCCAGGATAACGAAGGACATTTCGTGTTCATGAAGAATTAAGCATAGGATGCATACTTAAAGAACTTCTTGTAAGTTATTAGGTATGCATGAATGCATGATTTAACCACTTGCCCCTGCTTGATTGGGATGTGTCTCTCTTATATAAGTAATAAGATCAACATCATAAACCAAACCGAACTTGCCCTTAGTTCCAAATCTCCCTAGCTAAATCCTTTTCACTATTGAAGATGAATTATGAGGTTTAGATATTCTTGTCACAGATGTCACTATAAAGTCAACCTTTATCGGTAATCATGTTGTGCTAGAAAACGACCCTCCCAAATATTACATCATAACATCAAAAAATGTTAAGACTTAAGAATCTTTATTTTCGTATATTTTTCATCACTTAAACACATCAAGTGTCTCTCAAAGAGTGTGCGAGTCTTCTTCTACAAAAAACAAACTGGGAAATAGAGTGCGTGAGATTTGCTATGAGTGCATTTGGGTTTGATGTTCTTTGGTGGCGCAATGGTTGCTGGTCAGTGGTCACTAGATAAAGTGACCATGAAGATCATTCCTTCTAAAGCAACGTCGTCAACAACTATATGTAGATGAATTGGTTGGATTTAGGGCTGTTAACCAATGTGCTCATGAAAGACTCAAAGTTCGACTCGATAAAAAAAATTTATTTGATTAAGAAAAAGTTAGACTCTTCTATTAATGAGGCGAATTTGAGCTAAACATTGTTCAGCTCGTGAGGCTCGTGAGCAAGCTCGACAAGGTAGTTTCTTGAACTCAACTCATAAAATCTCTTCTTTTGAGCTTATGAGATGTCTTAACATTGTGATTAGTGAGCCAACACGACTACCAACTTATGAGAAAATCAATCTATATCTTATAAGTTGACTTGTTGACAATTCATAGATTTATTAAATTGTATATCTCACACGTATAAGATTTGAGTATGTGAGCAAATATGTCTCGTATATGACATTATATCAATTAATCACATCTATCATATATGACATATAAATATTATGGTATAATTTATAAATTATCATAGAGTTGAGCTCTAGCCGAACTACTAATCTTAATGATGAGTAAAGTAGATTTTAATAAATGACCCAGCTCGAGCTCGAATCGACTCATTATAAATTAGCTAAGCTCGAACTCTGCTTGTTTATTAACGAGCCAAACCTAAACAAAGCAAAACTCGACTCGACACGACACGACTCGGCTCAATGATGGCCTACTCGGACTATAAGCTCGTTCATTTTAGAGTAGTCTCATGAACAACTATGAAAATGAATTGGTAGATGAAACATACTCAGTTGTTGTCAGATTTATAAAAAATCATCATGATAGCATTTTAGTTAGAACATGTAATCTAAACATCTCTCACAGTCATACAGTCTTATTTTGTAATTACGAGGTAAAGACACTAATCGAACCTCCACTTATCAAGTGGATGAACATGTTGGCAATGCACTTTGCTATTCGTATAAACTACTAGATTATATCAATATTATGCAGCTCTTGGCATCAACTTTATGATGAATTATTGAGCACTTTTCTAAACAACAAAGTTTTGGAAATCATGAGACTACAATTTAGACGACGAAGTTGTTAGCAATGGCGCCAAAACCATCTTCCTCAAGTCCTTCCTCAGTATCTTCCCAGCCGGACTTTTGGGTATGGAGTTCACAAACGCAACTCGCCTTATCTTTTTGTATGGTGCAACCTGCAACGCCAAACAAAGAACAATCAAATTCAACCCCCATTAAATTTCATAAGAAGAGAACGTAACTACGTAAATGAATACTCCACCTGTTTCGCGACGAACTCCATTACTGATCTTTCATCGAGGATACACCCTGGTCGCCTCACCACACATGCAAATGGCAGTTGCCCCGCCTCCTCATCGGGGTACCTGCAACAACAATTTGTTCAGTCATAATTCGTTGTTAACTTGAAGAAGTCGAGCTGGAAAAGTTTGTTACGATTATGTGCATGGATGAGAAGATAGAGGGTTACGGAATGACTGCTGCATCGGCTACGCATGGATGGGACTGCAACAATTGCTCAAGCTCTGCAGGGGCAACCTACAATAACCAAATTTTAACACTACTATCAGTAGGAACATAAGGTTTGTTACTTGTCACAAGAACCCGACCTCTTTTGTTTAGGAAAACTACATCCATAATAAAACCAACATGTATTTCATTGGTCGATTTCGTGAAGTCGTGCTAACTCATCTCATCATGAGCCTTCATCTATAATGACTAAGACCTGTCACAGCCCATTACCCTTAACCATTCAACAAAACCCTTTAGCCAACATGACTTACTATAGTTGAATAAAAATGGTATTTTAGTTTACCTGGTATCCATTATATTTAATCAACTCCTTGAGTCGATCCAGAACATAAAGGAAACCTTGATCGTCAAAATAACAAAGATCGCCGGTCCTCAACCACTCATTGATAACCATGTTATCGATGGTCCCTTCAGGATCACCCACATAACCTGCAAACAACTTCGCACAAATTATTCTAGCATGTCCTAACACATAAAACTCTAGGTGTATTTCGATCTTTACCTTTAAATGTTGTTGGCCCTTTGACCCAAAGCTCTCCTTGTTTTCCAGGAGGCAGAAATTCTTGTGTTTCGGGATCAACAATTCTCGCTTCCAAAAGCCCGTAAAGCCTCCCAACAGAGCCCCATTTTTTAGATTCTTTAGGACCAAGCACTCGAGAGACTGGCCCTGTCAACTCAGTCAAACCATACCCCTTATAGAACAAATGTTCGATATTAGTAGAAATCCTCATTACAATTTTTTCAAAAAATAAAATCGTTTGTATGCGAAATTGTATGTTATTGTCTATTGGATCAAAAATAAAATCGTTTGTATACGAAATTGTATGTTATTATCTATTGGATCAAAATTATTCATTTAGGTAACTGAAAACTTGTTTGGAATGGTGTTTTACAACTTTCAATGCATTTTGAAACAAATAAATTCCATGCAAGTAGAATGTTTCTTTAATTTTCTAATTTTTGTCTCCATCTAAAAGTTTGTGTCTACGATTAAATAATGAAGCGTTTTTGTGGAATATTATGGTAATTTGGTAACTCCCAAAATATGTAGTTTTTACCGTTGCAAAAATTTCTGACCTCTTTGTAAAAAAAAAAAAAAAATCTGACAGCAAACCATATAGAAAAGGAAATAAAGCTAATAAAATCTCAGACCTGGGCCAACTCCACCGCAGGGAACTTGGCCTTGAACGCGGCGATGACGTCCTTCCCCAGCGGAGCTGCGCCGACGACCAAGCTCTTCAGCGAACTCAAGTCATACCGCTCCGAGGAGCCTGGTTTCACCATCGCCACAACAACCGGCGGCGCCATCGCCACATCGGTGACGCCGAACTCCTCCACCGCCTTCAGCATCCCGTCCAGACCGAATCTCGGCATCATCACCACCGTCTCCATCAGCGCGACCGACTTCAGCGAGTAGATGAACCCGAACACGTGGAAAAGCGGCACCGTGTAGAGCAAAACGGCCGGAGAAGCCCTCTCTCCCGCCGCCACCGCCGACGAACGGCACAAGGCGACGACCCCGATTAGGTTTCGATGCGTCAGCATCACCCCCTTGATCCTCCCGGTGGTCCCCGATGAGTACAGAATCGCCGCCACGTCGGATTGACTCGGCTGGGTGGGACCGAGGCCGAGATTCAGATCCAAATCGAAAGTATGCGTCATCATCGACTCGAACTCGGGCGAGTCGACGAGAATCGTCCCGAGCCTCAGCTTCGGGAGCTTGTAGGCCGTGGATGACGTGGCGAACGCGATGGTCGGGCCGGACAGCTCGACGAGCCGGGCGAATTCCGACCCGGTGCTGACCGGGTTGCCCGGGGAGACCACGACGCCAATCGAGAGGAGGGATAAGTAGAGGATCGGGACTTGAACGCAGTTGGGGCAGATTACCAAAGCGACGTCGTGTCTGGACAGCTTGAGGACGTGCTGAAGGTAATACGACAGGGATTTGTGCCGTTTGAGGAGGTCTGAGTAAGGGATTCGTTGACCGGTGGCGGAGTCGATCAGGGCCGCCGTGGAGTCGGGCCAGCGGGATGCAGAACGGATGGATAGGACGTAGTCGACGACGGAGATGGGAGCGTCTTCCTGCGGGAGGTGAATCGGCGGTCGAAGGCTGTGGAAGGTCTTCGTTGCCGGGTTGAAGCCGGCGCTTTCTGGATTAATTGTCGTCGTGGCTGCCATCGGAAAGGGGAGTTCTTTATTTGTTGGAAAGATAAATTTTGCAGAAGTAGCGGGGGGTGGGGATTTTATGATCTTATTATTATGGTGGCGGAAACATCCATGGCGTCGATGATGAGCAGGAGAGTGACCTTGGCAAGTTGGAACCCTTTTAGATTAGGACATGATGTTATTTTTGCCATTGTCGCTTAGGACATATTAAATTATTAATAAGACCAAAATGTGTTTTGATGGTATTAACAAGGCAATTAGAAAAGATAGGACTAGGAAGATTATAGATTAGGATCATACCAAAAACTACGCGGTTTAAATCATATCATGTCGGTTTGGCTAAGTACAGTCCAGATCATGAAAATTATATTGAGCGAAAATATTAACCGACAATTCGACCAAAAAAAGCTTATGCCGGAGGCTAAACTTGCGGGAAGTATGAAACGGTTGAACCACGATTAAACTACGATTTGAGCATAAAATACTCTACTGCTGACTTTTCCGGTAATATCTTCCAAGGGCGGAGTGAGGATTTCATGACCGCGTGGGTCGAAAAATAAAAAATCTAAATCAAATAATAATTATTTATAGCAAATCACTCAATGGAAGTAATAAAAAAGTATGAAAGGGGTGGGTTTTCCGTTATTTGGTTTATGGAAATATAGATGAGAAAGAAAATAATGAAGTCTTGAAGTGGGTAAAGTAAAAAAGCACAAACAAAATATACGAGTATTGCGAATTAAACTAGTGTCCTTTAGATTAAAAGTTAAGATTGGCTACCATAGACTACATTACTATTGGATAACCCAATATACTGAACGACTTATACTTATAAAATGTTATTAAATATCGAAAAGGTCCTAGGGGCCAAGACCATTTTCGCGGGTGGAGAGGGCGGGGCCCACCCTACCATCACTATAGCTCCACCCTTGCAATCTTCGATATAGTTTTTCAATCTATATTTTTCCCCCTTAAAACAGAAACTTCAACAATATGCATAATTTTGATACCATAAATTCAAGTAAATAAATAAAAACAAAAACAAAATTAGAGCAACCTAACTTGCACCATGATGTCCTATGTGCTAAATTGTAATAAAAATAAATTTAGGTCCTAGACTATAATTTTCAACTATTGTAATTTTGATAAGAAAACTCAAATGAATATATAAACAATGAATTTGAATTACATCTATCTCAAAATATACTAGCCATAAAACTAACAAAGAATCAAAGAACCAAACATATCGTTAATGACTAAGTAAATTTTTAATACGGAAGTTTCCATGTATTATATTGAATACCTAATACGATGCATTTATTATGCATGCAACTTATTTTTATCATTCAGACACAATTACATTATTGAAACTCACTTGACGAACAAAGTCTATCATCCTATAGTCCTATACACAAATCATATCAACAAATGATTTGGTACTTAGGTAACACAATTTTGTTGACATCAATAGTCACTAAATAGCCACCAATGAAGCCCACCACTAATCCTCGTGAAAAAACACCCTCAGTACTCAGTAGTGCCCAGTGCTCTATCACTGATCTGTCCTATTTCTCACAATAAAAGCCCTCATTAAACAACCCAGAGTTTTGTCCTTACCATCATCAACACCGTAATCCAGAGTTCCCAGCAGAGAAACACCCATCAAAACCGTTTTCTTTTCTTCGTTTCCTATTTTCCCGGCTCTCCCTTCCCTCCAACATTTCACTCTCACTCTCAGTCGCAGATTCCCTTCTCCCTCCCTTATCTCCTCCCTCTGCCACCGTCCCCACCAAAAAAATCTCCTCCCTCCGCAATTTCCCATCGGGCGAGCAATCGAGCTCCGTGACTACCCTCCTCAATCCTCCCAATCCGAATTTCCCGAATTCCAATGGCAGCCGCCGTTGCATCAGCTCCCTTCAGCAACACGTACTACTACATTCCTCCACTCGCCTCCCTTTCTAGGGTTTCCATTTCCCTCCACCCCGCCTCCCGCCGCCGCCAACAACAACGACACCAGTTCTTCCGCCGCTCCTCCTCCTCCTCCATCCCGTTCTCTCGTGGCCGCAGCTGCTGCCTCGCGTCCAGCCCCGAGGTCTTGGTCGCCGCTGCCGCCAATTCAGCTCTCGGACGTGGAGTTGCGAACAAGAGAGGTGGAGGAGACGGTGAGGAGAAGGAGGAGTGTGGTGATTTGAAGTCGTGGATGCATCAGAACGGTCTCCCTCCTTGCAAAGTCGTTCTTAGAGATAGGCCGTCCCTCGACGAGATGCTTTGCTCCATTCATTACGTCGCCGCTAGCGAAGATCTTCAGGTGATGGAGGAAACGTGGATTAGATTAGTTAGGAGTTGATCGAGTTTCTTTATTTTCTTGCTCTGGCTTGAAGCTTCGTTGTTGTGTATCGCAGGCTGGGAATGTGGCGTTTTCCGTCCCGAATTCTCTCGTTGTGACGCTCGATAGGGTATTAGGAAATGAGACAGTAGGTAAGCCTTTCGTCTCTGTGCCTTTTTAAGGTTTTGTTCTTCTTGTAATGTTGCAGTTCTTAGGAGTAGTTTTGATTCAATTTTCTCGACTATTGCAGCGGAATTGTTGACGACGAACAAGTTATCGGAGTTGGCATGCTTGGCATTGTATTTGATGTACGAGAAGAAGCAGGGGAAGAAGTCGTTCTGGTATCCGTACATACGAGAGCTTGATCGTCAGCGTGGTAGAGGTCAGCTTGCTGTGGAATCTCCGCTGCTGTGGTCGGATGATGAATTGGCTTATCTGACAGGCAGCCCTACTCAGGTACTGATTACTTCAATGGCTTAATGTTCAGTCAGTTGCTTAATGAGATTGAAGATGTATTAAGGCTATAGTCTGGTGTTTCTTTAAGTAGGCTGAAATTATTGAAAGGGCAGATGGGATCAGAAGAGAATATGATGAGCTTGACACTGTGTGGTTCATGGCTGGTTCTTTGTTTCAGGTTCTCTCTTACCCTACAAAAAATTGTTTCTGTTCCCCATGAGATATACATACTGTTTGGCTAACCATTGATTCTTGATTTCTTTTCTGCAGCAATACCCTTTTGATATTCCAACAGAAGCGTTTTCCTTTGAGATTTTCAAACAAGCTTTCGTTGCTGTTCAGTCATGTGTGGTGCATTTGCAGGTAACTTGTAAATTTTGTTGGATATGCTTTCAAGGGCATAGTGAATCAGCTATTTGCATAGGACAATGGCATTGTGCATTAGAATGTTGCAAAAAGCTTTCTTGGTCTGTTTTTATTCCAAGTTTTGCAAATGTAATATGTTAATGTTCTTTATCTCTACCCATAGTATGCAAGACTTGAACTGTTGAGATATGTTCCATCTTGACTTTTCGTGTGGCTATTGAGATATTATATAGTTCTAAGTCTCTGTAATTATTGTATCTATCCGGTTTGCTCTATCTTCAATGTACTAGTACTAGTATGAGCTTTTGCTAGTTGCTGTCCTTCCTTTCTTATCATCTATATTGAGCTGGTGTTGAGATAGAATCTGAACATACTTTGCCTTCTATTGCTCAGCAAGTCAGCTTAGCTCGTCGATTTGCTTTGGTTCCTCTGGGGCCTCCCTTGCTATCTTACAGAAGCAGTTGTAAGGCAATGCTAAGTGCTGTAGAAGGTGCTGTTGAACTGGTAGTTGATCGCCCATACAAGGCCGGGGAACCCATTGCTGTCTGGTACGGCTGTGGAACACATTGTGCCATGTTGTTTTGTGGGTGTTCCTTATGATGTTGTACATTCTGGTTATCCAAGAGCTGAAGTTGCTGAAATTTCCAGGTGTGGACCGCAACCCAATTCAAGATTGCTTATAAACTATGGTTTTGTTGACGAGGATAATCCTTATGATCGCCTCATGATCAAGGTACTTATTCTTGGGATCTCCATTTGAAATTTAATTTTTTCCTCATCAACTTTACTGATTTGTGGTTTGCTTCAGGCTGCATTAAACACTGAGGACCCTCAGTATCAGGAGAAAAGATTGGTTGCTCAAAAAAATGGCAAACTCTCCATGCAGGATTTTCTGGTAGGACTTCCTTTTTACTTTTTCTTTATAAGGAAACTTAAGCATAAGATTCTCCGTTGAATATTCTATTTTCCCCTTATTCCAGGTTCAAGTGGGGAAGGAAAAGGAAGCTGTCTCAGATATGCTTCCTTATCTACGATTAGGCTACGTGTCAGATACTTCTGAACTGGAATCCGTCATGTCTTCTCAGGGTCCAGTTTGTCCAGTAAGTTTATGTGCATTATTTTTGCTTCCTGGATAATTATTGCTTCCATGAATATTATAAAAAGCTAGTTATGGCCATGAAACATAAAGCAGTACTGAATTTAGTTGTGGATTAGAAGTTCACCAGAGAGAGTAGTTAGTCCTAAGCAGGTTTGTTTTGGAGAATACAGCTAAATGTGATCTCTGACTTGTTGCTGAAACTTATTGCTTGTTGCAGGTTAGCCCCTGCTTGGAGCGGGCAGTATTGGATCAGCTTGCTGAGTACTTCAACAAGCGCCTGACTTTGTACCCAACTAGCTTAAGCGAAGACGAATTGATGGTATTATCATTGTTTCCATTGAGGGTCGTTGATGATATAATCTACAGCATAGATTAGTTTTACTAATTCCTTACTCTTTCTATACATATTAGTTGGCGGATGATAAGTTGAACCCAAAGAAGAGAGTTGCCACTCAGCTTGTGCGGTTGGAAAAGAAAATACTTCATGCTTGTCTGGAGGCAACTCGTGATCTGATAGCACAGCTACCTGATCTCACAATCTCACCATGTCCAGCTCCTTATGCTCCTTCGTTGAAATGAGAAAGAGGTATCTTGATTAAGGTTTCCTGGACTCATATCACCAATAGCTTTCGAATAAGCTTTCTTAGACTCTTCATTTCTAAATTTGTAGGTTGCAGAATTTCATTCATTGGCTCAGGAATCTTAAAGACGTTTTTCGCTAGACGGGTAATATGGTCAGTATACAAAGCAGGACGAAGGCTGGCTTATTGAAATGTGACAAACCAGATATCTTTAATGGCATTTGTTTTGGTTTGCAATTTTTAACTATGCTAAAGACTGTATTATTGTGTTTGCAGGGTAGATAATTCTGAACATAAGTCAGGTAAGTAAATCAATGACCATCGAAGAGATTTGGAGTTCATGCTGCCTCTGGCATTCAACTGGTGAAAAAGGGCCGGGCATCAGTGGTGGGTTCATGGGCATAGCTTCAAGTCTGCTGGTTGCTGCCTTTTCCGTTTCGAGTCCTACTGTGCAGCAGTTGCATGGAAAAATTATCCTCCCTCTTCTTCTGTATAGCAACTCAGCAGTACAAGCAAATGACAGGCCAAGGCCGATCAATCGTGTACATTACTACTGGTAAGGATTAGCCAACTTTTCCTTGTAGCACTTGTACTTGTAATAAATAGCTCTTCCCATTTTAAAAAGCAGCTGTTTGTGAATTTTTGGAATGAAAGCCCAAGAATTTTCTTTCTTTATGGCGCAAGGGGCTCAGAAGCCCAATAAGGTGGGTCTACTGCCTTCTTTGTGCACCAACTTAATCCAGATCGTAAGACTTCTGACTTCTGAGAAGTGAGAAGGAATATTTGAACTGGGTATTCTAATGTTTCATGCTGAAAATACTGAAAGTCTGAAATGTGTTGGAAAAGGGCCCTTTTCCCAGTGACCGTTGGCTTTGGTTGTCATCTTTTTAATTGTTTACATTTGTTTGTATACCACATGCTGCACTATGATATTCATCCACTAAATCAACTGACCAGAAAACATGCCCAGCCCACCAACAGCAGAAAACGACGACGAGCCTGAAACTGTAAAAATTAACAATAAACCCCACGTACGTACTCCTATAGCAGAATAAATGAACCCGTTACTACAACTTGCCACTTTACCATTCTTTATTTCCCATTTGTGCACCACCTTCTAATTGTTCCCATCAACAGCAAGCTTTAATGGAAAACTTTAATCCCAATCCTAATTGTGTCATAATTACCATCAGTCGTTTTCATTATCTTATGTTTATTGTCTAGGGCAGTCCTTAATGATTTAGATTCCTAGACTGCTACAAGCTCTAAACAACAAAAAGCTTACAAATTATATGAATACGGATTGATGGTTTGTATTTAATCATAATATAAAATAAATAAGATCCACAAGTGAATCTCACACTATAAATCAAATTAGTGTGATCAACTAGTTTTTGACATGTTATTTGAGAATATTAAAATTTTGAGTTTAGTAAACTTTTTTTTTATAATGATGATATATTTTCACAAAAGATCAAATTTGAGTTTAAGAATTAGTAACTAATGATATTACGTATAATCGTATTTGTAAAAATATGTATAAAACTTGTCAACATTCAACAATGCGTTATCTAGTTGCCAACTACCAGTCGATGATCTATTATTATCCGGTTTCAGTTCCAAAAAGTAATAGTTCCCTACTTTCTTTCCCTGGTTTTCTTTCAGAAGACCAAAAGGGGGAGTGAGCTTTCAGTTTCTGTTTTCAAAAAGCTGAGAGGGAGAGAGAAGAGAGAGACAAAGGAAGGCCGCGCCGCCGGGAGAAAGCTGGAATCAAAGAAAGCAGTTTGACTCCCCCGCCGGCGGGAAACGAATTTCATCCCGAAGGAAGTGCTCTACACTGTCAAGCAAAAATGAGCGCCAACTCGCGGGGGCCACGGCCCACGCGCGGCCGCAATCCTCCGCCGCACCAGCGGTCGCAGCCGGAGGTCTACAACATAATCCCAATCCACGACCTCTTCACGGACCACCCGTCTCTACGCTATCCGGAAGTACGAGCCGCGGCGGCGGCGCTGCGCGCAGTCGGCGACCTCCGGAAACCGCCGTTTCTCCCCTGGGAGCCGCACTACGACCTCCTGGACTGGCTCGGCTTGCTATTCGGCTTCCAGCGCGACAGCGTGCGGAACCAGCGAGAGCACTTGGTCCTCCACCTCGCCAATTCGCAAATGCGGCTCCAGCCGCCGCCGTCGTTGCCGGACGCCCTGGACCCCACCGTACTCCGCCGCTTCCGCCGGAAGCTACTCACAAACTACACCTCCTGGTGCTCGTACATCGGCCGGAGGTCCCAGCTCATCCTCTCCGGCCGGCCTAGCAGCGACGACCTAATCCGCCGCGAACTGCTCTACGTCGGGCTCTACCTTCTAATTTGGGGCGAATCTGGAAACCTAAGGTTCATGCCGGAGTGTCTCTGCTACATCTACCACCACATGGCCATGGAGCTCAACCAATTCCTCGACGAGTGGACCGATCCCGAAACCGGTAGGGCTTTCCTCCCTTCAATCTCCGGCGAGTGTGCGTTTCTGAAATCGGTAATCATGCCTATTTACCGAACGGTGAAGTCCGAAGTGGATAGCTCCAGGAACGGGACGAAGCCCCATTCCGCTTGGAGAAACTACGACGACTTGAATGAATTCTTCTGGAGCAGGAGGTGTTTCAAGAAGCTGAGATGGCCTTTGAATTTCAGTAGCAATTTCTTCGATACGGTGGATAAGATTCATAGAGTTGGCAAGACTGGTTTTGTAGAGCAGAGGTCGTTCTGGAACTTGTTTCGGAGCTTCGATAAGCAGTGGGTATTGCTGATTCTGTTTCTGCAAGCAAGCATTATCATTGCTTGGGAGCAGACTAAGTATCCTTGGCATGCAATTGAGCGAAGAGCAGTCCAAGTTAAGCTTCTGAGTTGCTTCATTACATGGAGTGGGTTGAGAGTTCTGCAAGCTGTGCTAGATGCTGGAACTCAGTACAGCCTTGTCACTAGGGAGACATGGTTGTTGGGGCTGCGAATGAGCTTGAAGTTTGTGGTGGCAGTGGCATGGACGGTTGTGTTTGGGGTCTTCTATGGGATGATATGGAGGTCGGGGAGTTCCAACGAAGCTGACCAGAGGATCACTATGTTTCTCCAAGCAGTGCTGGTCTTCGTTATCCCGGAATTGCTTGCCATTCTGCTCTTCATACTCCCATGGATTCGAAATGCCATTGAAGAGTGGGATTGGAGTTTTGTATACTTGTTCACGTGGTGGTTTCATACCAGAACATTCGTAGGCCGGGGACTTCGAGAAGGGCTCGTCGACAATGTCAAGTACACTGTGTTCTGGATACTGGTTTTAGCTTCAAAGTTTGTGTTCAGCTACTTCCTCCAGATCAAGCCGATGGTTGCTCCGACGAAGGCGATTCTCAAGGTCAACATTTTTCAGTATAAGTGGCATGAGTTCTTTGGCCATAGCAATCGAGTTGCAGTGGTAGTAATGTGGATGCCTGTGATGCTGATCTACTTCACCGATTTGCAAATTTGGTATGCCATCTTCTCCTCTTTTGTTGGAGCCACCGTAGGCTTGTTCTCCCACTTGGGCGAGATAAGGAACATTGGTCAGCTCAGACTCCGGTTCCAGTTCTTCGCCAGCGCAATGCAGTTCAATCTAATGCCCGAGGAGCAACTTCTCGGCCCGAAGATGAACCTAGTGAAGAAGCTTCGAGACGCGATTCACAGATTGAGACTGAGATATGGGTTCGGCCAACCTTACACGAAGATTGAGTCAAGCCAGGTGGAGGCCACAAGGTTTGCATTGATATGGAACGAGATCATGATGGCTTTCAGGGAAGAAGATTTGATCAGTTATAAAGAGCTCGAGCTCCTGGAGCTTCCGCCGAACTGCTGGAACGTTAGAGTGATTCGCTGGCCCTGTGTTCTTCTCTGCAATGAGCTACTGCTAGCTCTGAGTCAGGCGCTCGAGCTGGCTGAAGCACCCGACAGTTGGATTTGGTTGAAGATCAGTCAGAGCGAGTACCGGCGCTGCGCTGTGATCGAGGCGTATGATTGCATCAGGTATTTGTTGCTTTCGGTGGTGAAGTATGGTTCAGAAGAGAACTCCATTGTTGGGAAGTTCTTCAACGAGGTAGATGGTCACATTCAAATCGGAAAGTTTGCAGAGAATTACAACATTTGCCTGCTTCCCAAGATACACTCCAAGGTAATACAATTAGTTGAGCTTCTGAGGAAACCTAGGAAAGATGAGAGGGAAACTGTGGATGTATTGCAGGCATTGTACGAACTTTGTGTTCGTGGGTTCCCAAAGTTGAAGAGGTCCATTCCCGAGCTGAGAAATGATGGTTTAGCCTCCCAGCGTGAAACAGAGTTGCTCTTTGAGAATTCTGTTCAGTTCCCCGACGCTGAAGATGAGTTCTTCAATCGACAGCTGAGGCGTGTGCACACAATTCTCACGTCACGAGATTCCATGCACGACGTTCCTAAGAACATCGAGGCGAGACGACGAATTGCTTTCTTCAGCAATTCTCTGTTCATGAACATGCCACGTGCCCCAAATGTCGAGAAGATGATGGCGTTCAGCGTGCTGACACCTTACTATGACGAAGAGGTTTGTTTCGGTAAAGAGAATCTTCGCACTCCGAATGAGGATGGAATCTCGATCCTGTTTTATCTGCAGAAGATCTATGAGGACGAGTGGAGGAACTTCATGGAGAGAATGAAGAGGGAAGGAATGGAGGACGAGGATGATGTGTGGGACAAGAAATCAAGGGAGCTTCGTCTTTGGGCTTCGTACAGAGGGCAGACATTGTCGCGAACTGTTAGAGGGATGATGTATTATTACAGGGCTCTGAAGATGCTTGCCTACCTTGATTCGGCCTCTGAGGTTGATATTAGGGCGGGAACGCAGGAGATTGCTTCTCATCATTCATCGAGGAGGAACAACCGACAGTTGGGTGATGATGGTCTGAACTCTGCCGGAGGGGCAGGAGGAGAGAGACCATCATTGAGGAAGCTGGGCAGAGCAACGAGCACCGTAGGGCTCTTGTTCAAGGGACACGAGTATGGGAGCGCGCTCATGAAGTTCACCTACGTTGTTGCTTGTCAGGTTTGTATCATGGTTAAAATCTCGATTTGGATCCTATAATTTTTTTTCTGTGATATCTTACGCAAACATTTCTATTCTGATTATGATAAACAGGTCTACGGGCAGCACAAAGCCAAGGGTGATCCTCGAGCCGAAGAGATCCTCCACCTCATGAAGAACAACGAGGCGCTTCGAGTTGCGTACGTCGACGAGGTCCACTTGGGGAGAGATGAAGTCGAGTACTACTCCGTCCTGGTGAAGTACGATCAAGAACAGCAGAGAGAAGTCGAGGTATACCGTGTCAGGCTGCCCGGTCCTCTCAAGCTCGGGGAAGGGAAGCCCGAGAATCAAAACCATGCATTCATCTTTACTCGCGGAGATGCAGTTCAGACCATCGACATGAACCAGGACAACTACTTTGAGGAAGCTCTCAAGATGAGGAATCTGCTGGAGGAGTTCAAGGTACATTATGGAATCAGGAGGCCGACGATCTTGGGTGTTCGTGAGAACATCTTCACCGGTTCGGTTTCCTCTCTTGCCTGGTTCATGTCTGCTCAGGAGACGAGCTTTGTGACTCTTGGCCAGCGAGTTCTGGCGAATCCTTTGAAGATTAGGATGCATTATGGTCATCCGGATGTGTTTGACCGGTTCTGGTTCATGCCACGTGGCGGGGTCAGCAAGGCTTCTAGGTTGATCAATATCAGTGAGGATATATTTGCTGGGTTCAACTGCACCCTTCGAGGAGGCAATGTGACTCATCATGAATATATACAGGTACAGTACTCTGTCGTCATAACACGATCCGTAAACTCTTACAATTCCCCACGTTCGATTTTGCTCATGTTTTCGATTTTACGTAACATCTCGATGCTGATTACAGGTGGGCAAAGGCCGGGATGTCGGATTGAACCAGATATCAATGTTTGAAGCCAAGGTAGCAAGTGGCAACGGTGAGCAGATATTAAGCCGAGACGTCTACAGACTAGGCCACAGATTGGATTTCTTCCGAATGCTCTCGTTCTACTACACTACAGTTGGCTTCTTCTTCAACACAATGGTGGTCGTACTAACCGTCTACTCCTTCCTCTGGGGCCGTCTCTACCTCGCTCTCAGCGGCATAGAAGGCTACGCCATGGAAACTAGCAAGAACAACAAGGCCTTCGGCGTAATCCTGAACCAGCAGTTCTTCCTCCAGATCGGCCTCTTCACCGCCTTCCCAATGGTGGTTGAAAACTCCCTCGAGCATGGCTTTCTTCCTGCCGTCTGGGACTTCTTGACCATGCAGCTCCAACTGGCATCTGTTTTCTACACTTTCTCCATGGGCACCCGAGCCCATTTCTTCGGCCGGACCATCCTTCACGGTGGTGCCAAGTACCGTGCCACTGGCCGCGGGTTCGTGGTCCAGCACAAGAGCTTCGCTGAAAATTACAGGCTCTACTCTCGGAGTCACTTCGTCAAGGCTATTGAGCTCGGTGTGATTCTCATAGTCTACGCAGCTCACAGCCCCATGGCACAGGACAGCTTTGTTTACTTGGCGATGACGTTATCGAGCTGGTTCCTCGTCTTGTCGTGGATCATGGCCCCGTTCGTTTTCAACCCGTCAGGATTTGACTGGTTGAAGACGGTATATGACTTTGAGGACTTCTTGAATTGGATATGGTACAAAGGTGGCGTGTTCACTAAGGCAGAGCACAGTTGGGAGACCTGGTGGTACGAGGAACAGGACCATTTGCGAACCACGGGACTCTGGGGTAAGCTCTTAGAGATCATCCTCGATCTCCGGTACTTCATGTTCCAATATGGCGTTGTGTACCAGCTCAACATCACCGGCGGGAAGACCAGCATTTCAGTTTACCTGCTATCATGGATTTACATGATCGCGGTGATGGGGATCTATGTCGTGATGATGTACGCTCAAGAGAGATTTGCGGCGAAGGAGCATATCAAGTACAGGCTGACACAGCTCGTGGTGATCTCGATGACCGTGCTTGTACTGACTCTATTGTTGGACCTTACGTCGTTCACGTTGCTGGATTTGGTCAGCAGCATGCTGGCGTTTGTGCCCACAGGGTGGGGGCTGATAAGCATTGCTCTCGTGCTGAGGCCTTTTTTGGAGTCTACAGTGGTTTGGGATACGGTGGTTTCGTTGGCGAGGATTTATGATCTGCTGTTTGGAGTGATTGTGATGGCCCCCGTGGCGTTGTTGTCGTGGTTGCCAGGGTTTCAGGCCATGCAGACGAGGATTCTGTTCAACGAGGCCTTTAGTAGGGGCCTGCAGATTTCCAGGATTCTTAGTGGGAAGAAAACCAATTGATGGGTCAAGCAAGCTAAGGTAAGCGACGGAGTTCTTTGTGCTGTGTTGTTTTAACTGACCAATTCATGGGTGACAAATGTTGAACTCTTTATTTTTATTCAGGTTCATCTTCATGGTTATATTCTGAAAGGAAAAGCCCTTTGAAAATGACAGGTCTTTTGGCTGATGGGAAACAGATCCGACAATTCGCCTGTGGTACTGATGTTTCAAATCTTCTAAAGACGAGTCATTAACAGGACGCAAGGTAAGTTCTTTTTCACCTCCAGCATTGCAAATTATCCTTTACTTTTGGGTTGTGATTTCTGAACTCCTGCTGAGAATGCTGTTTCTTGACTTGTAGGCTACTGAAAAAACCCTTCATTGACCGTGGAAGAGATGCAGAGTTCATAATGCTTCCTCTGTGTTTGAATGTTGAAAAACCCGCCCGCCACCGGATGAATTTGCATCCAGATATGCGATCCATGTTCAAGAGCCTGCTGGTTTTCCCTTTCCCATTGGGCGTTGGTCATTTTCTGGTACCACTTCGCACCTGTTTCTGTCCTTCCTATGCCGAAATTGCTTGAAGTACTCGCATCCCCTGTATAACACTTAGCATTGCTAGCAATTTAGGCTGTACATCACTGGAAACGGACTAGGTAGCTAATTCCTTTTATTATTGGTAATAGCCTAATAGGTCATGTTGAAACAAGCCAGCTAGCTAATTAAGCAGCTCTCATAGTGAATTGTTACGGGGTACCCAAGCATTGGAAGACGAATGGAAGAAGAGATGTAAAGTTTCCATGATTCTTAGTTTGAGACGTACATCAAGTCTGGTGATGATCGAATGGACGACATAGCTTCCAAACCCTAGCTGCTGTAGGTTCCTGTTCCCCACTGTTCCTTTTTAAAGTTAGTTTTTCCCACTTTGTTTCTTCTGTACAGCACTTAGCAGCATTGATAGTAAAACAAGGTGTACATTGCTTGGAAAAGATAGGCCATTTTGATTTTTTGACGATGCTGAAAATGAATGTTCATGTATATGGTGATTGATACAGAAGGTACCGAAAATCAGTCATCAACAAAGAAAATGTGGCGGGGAACACGCGGGTATTCGAAAATCAGTCAGAAAAGATGCAGGAGACTTGATGATCTTCCGTCCTGTGTTGGACTGCCAAAAAAACCGATGTCCACAGCCACAGGAGTTGTCCTTTTCCCACATTGCCTCGGTAAGATTGGAATTTTCGCATCCCTGTATTGTATAGCCGTTAACATGATTAGTTCTTCTCTAAAAGACAAAACCAGGTGCTTGTTAGGTAAGCATTATGAAGCACACAAAATGAAGAAAACTGTGGATTGGCATGCAGGTAAGTTTCCGGATAGTGGGCCGCAATTGGTCGGATTAATTACCTTTCAACACGCCCCACCCACCGACCGGCCGATTTTCAAAAGGAAGGAAAATGAAAAGCAAGCCCGATTCACTTTACTACCCGATCACTCGCCTACTCGGAAACTTCTCACCGGAAGACCGGTTGACTCACCAGACCATTAATAATCCGATTATAATAGTAATCAATCAAGTTGCAATGCGTATCAGATCCCCTCCCTCCTGCCGGAACCATAATATAATGGCTGCAGCAGCAGCAGCAGCGCGGCCAAGCAAATCCTTTCCTGTTCGGCGTCTTCTAATAATCCCGGCCATTCTGCTGCTCTGCTGTAGCTCGCTAGCAGCCGACACTCTGACCCAAGGCGGCCCAGCCCTCGATTCCAACTCCACCCTCAACAGCCCCGGCGGCTTCACCTTAGGCTTCTCAGCGTTCAACTCGGACAACTCCAGCTGCCGCTACTTGGGAATCTGGTGGATTGACCAGTACCTCTACTGGGTAGCCAACCGCGACTTCCCTATCTGCGACGACGACTCGGGACGCCTCGTCTTGGACCACAACGGAACCCTCAAGCTCACCAACTCCGCCGGCCCACCCCTCGTGCTCTACTCCTCCTCCAACAACGACAACAACAACAGAAACAGTAGCAAGAAATTGACGGCGGCGGTCGAAGAAAACGGCAGCCTCTCCGTGCGGGACGGTTCCAGCAATCTGCTATGGCAGAGTTTCGATTCCCCTACGGATTCCTGGCTGCCCGGGATGAAACTCGGGGTGGTCAATGACAGCGGCGGCCTGCAGAACCGGAAGCTGACGTCACGGCTGATCTATTCCATCCCGGCGAAAGGGTCCTTCACGCTGGAGTGGGATCCCAAGAGGGAGGAGCTGGTGGTGAAGCGGCGAGGGGTCGAGTTCTGGGCCAGCGGCAAGCAATTGGGGGCCGACAGATTCCAGAATATGGACCTCAGGGGATTCTCGGCACAGGGGATAGATTACAACGTGACACGTGTCTCCAGCCCTGCCGACGGCGAGGACTATTTGACTTTAGGAGTTTCCAAAAACAGAAACAGCACCACCACGGGGTTTACCTTCAGCTACTTGCTGCTGGGCCACGACGGCGGGATCGCGGACGAAACACTCGGCGTCGGCGGTTCGGCCCTGGACCCGGATCTCTGCGACGGAAACAGCACGGAGAATGGGTGCGTGTCTGCGTGAGATGGCAGGGGCCGGAGTGCCGCCGGAGCAACGAAGACAGGTTTTACGTGCCGACGGACCGGTCCAGGCTCCATCGATGGGACGTGGAGGGGAATGGGAGTCTCAGCAGCATCAGCGACTGCAAGGAGTGGTGCTGGAATCATTGCAAATGTGGTGGGGTCAGCTTAGAGAACAATACTAATGGCACTGGATGTCGTTTTTACAGGTACTAGAGAATTAGCCCGTGCTACGCAACGGGATTTGATTCGTAATTCGTTTACTCTGTTGTTAATGTTGAATAATATAATTTGATCATGCGTGTGTTTATTTTAATGTTGTAAAAATCGATATTCATAGTGTTCGTGGTTTATTGGAAAAATATTACAATGAAATATAATGAAATTTCACAAAAAAAAGAAAAAAAGAAATGTACAATGGTCTTGGCATGCCGATAACTTGGTTGACATTATCATTTGTAGCGTATTGAAGTTCCTTTAGTGGAGAGCTCACCGATAGTTGTTGTGGTGCATCCGATATAGTGATGAAAACCAAAAGGAAGTGCAACTTGATTAGAACCCAACATTAATTTAATATCACGCTAATCATAAAAAATCTTATATCGTCGATAGTCTTAATGACCTACTTTCTACCAGTATAAATTTTTGCTGTATTCGATTATGTACCTCTATAAATGTTTGTTCTATTTGGTTTTATTCCATCATTAGACAATTGTAACTTAGAAAAGGTTGGCTTCAATGCACGTTGTTCTTGGCATGGTTAACACATTGATAATGTTTATGAAAAAATTCTAGTGATAAATTATAAATCAAGCTTGAGTTGCTAACCCATTTATAATTATACGTCCTGTGGTTTTGGCGTATATATTATTTGACTATCAGTAATGTTCGGCAAAATTTGGTTACCTGTGAAAGAGTATGAAAGGAGTCCCTTCTTATATATCCTGGTTCCTGAACTGCTCACTATCCGAGTCCATGTCATCTGTATCAACTATAAGCACATTCATCAGTGAATGAATGTAAGGGAGGGTGAGAAATAATTATAGGCTATTTAAACTTATTTACCTGTGTGTGATGTCGCCGACGGACCTCAGCCAGCCACAACATCTGTTCATTAGGAAATAAAAGTATCAATATAACACATATTGTTTGAGAGATCTTAAGTACGGTTTATATTACCTGTCAATAGTGTCTTAGTTCCTACACGTTCTCGCAAAGACTCAAAGTCGCAGAACTCGAAGCGGTCTGAAATAAAATCTGTAGCAGAGGTAGTAACATCTTCAAATTCGGTTGCCGGGACAATGGAGAGACATAGGTTGTTTTTGCATGGTTTGTAGGATTCTTTGGCTGGCCGTGATATGAATTCATTTATACCATATACGGATCCAACAGTGAGCTTGGACTCCGAATGGCCAGCAAAAGTACGATCGCTAAGGCCATGGATCAACATGCCCTGTAAAGAGACAAAGTCAGGAAGGTAGATAACTGTTGAACATACGATTAGAAGGGAAAGTGAAAGGTACTTTACCGTCTCGTCAACCCATAGGGTACTGTAGTCGTACACATAGCCAGGATTGGCTGGATTTGTCGAATGTCATGAGTGGAGGAGACGGAGCTTCAGTACTCCCTTTTTGTCGCCGATAGTGAGTTCCTGTAGGAGTTTCGGAGGACATATTGCAGAGCGGAAGCAAGCGCAATGCTAGAGTTAACGTGAGAAATAATGAAACTATTTTTCTGCCTTAATAGGGACAAATTAATTCGGAGCGGAACTGGAGAGTTTTTCACTTACTCGGAATAATTAGCACAAAAGTAGAAGTCTAATTGTATTCTAATTAAAATATTCCTTATTAGCTTCCCTTCATACAAATTTTCACTTCTTTGTACGGTTAGATTTTTTCTTGCTAATTAGTCCCATTTTTAGAGTAAAGAAGAATTCCTGCTGATCAATTACATTGAAAGTAAACTTCATGACAATTGATAATAACGTGAGCAAAACAGAAATTCTTGATAATAGTTTTTTTAATTAAAAACCATTCATGATTAGAACTATTACACCAGTATACTAAGCTACAATCATAACCCTTATAGAACCAAAGAGGATCATCTCTTAATGTTGACGCAGAACATAAAGCTTAGATCAGTTCATATACAAATTTAAAGCAATTCATAATGTCCCCATGGAAATTTGATCTTATACGAAGCTTAGACGTGGTTTTCTCTAAGCTGAAATAAACCCACCTTTTATCAATGTTCATAACTAAAAATTGAAGAAGAAAAACTTACTGAAGTATGACAGTCTTGGGTTCTTGTTCTACTTCATCACATCTGTATCACTCTAAGGTGTGACATCTTCCTTCAATGGTTGTACTGAAACTCCTGATCAAAACATAATTCATCATATTAGACATTATTCTCTTTTGAACTTAATTTCATTACATGATAAAATGAAAACTCAATGTACAAAAATCAATGAACTGCTCTTTATGCTACTTCAGTAGTCCTTAGCACCCTATTTGTTTCGCATCATCCTATAAGCTAACTACAATGCAGCCTGAACTTAAACACATTTTATTCATAAACATTCCATTTCAATCATACCTGCAAGTATACAATATCATTCAATTGAGTCCCTCCACCTTAATCAGCTTGAACTTCCTGCCCAAAGCCATAACCTTATAATCAGATATTTTATTGAACTCGCTGATGTTCAGTCGATTAACATGATCGCTCAGGCTATCCAAAGTCGTGATTACCTTATAATCAGATCTCTTAATGTACTTGCTGGTGTTCAGTCGATTAACATAATCGCTCAGGCTATCCAAAGTTGTGATTATAGTTTCTGGCGCTATTTTCATCACTACTACTGCAACAACTGCATAAACCCAAATCTGTTTGTCAATTCCCTACTTGCCAGATACGAAGATACCCAATTTCGTCTCTTGAAGAATATCAGTTTAGCAGAGGAGTAGAGTGGTAGATAATGAGAAGCATTTACCAAGTTATTGACTCGCCGAAATCCAGTGATTCGATTTGTTATGGCGGGACAAATCCGAGTGACGAAACGTTGTCGCCTATGGGTTCTGAAGAGGCGTTGTGGCCTGTGGGTTTTGAAGAGGCTCCGTGTTGGGACTTTCCGCCGCCTGCCGGAGCAAGGTTTCCCGGCGCCGTTGAATGCAATTAGGTGTAACGACTGTGGGTTCTGAAGAGGCTCCTCCGCCGCCACCTGCCGGAGCAAGGATCTCCGACGCCATTGGGTAAGGACTGTGGGTTCTAAAGAGGCTCCTTCGCCGCCACCTACCAGGGCGAGGCTCTCCAACGCCGTTGAATGAGATTAGGGGTCGGGGCCGCCGCCGCCTGCCGGAGCGAGGTTCCCCGGCACTGTTGAATGAGATTAGGGATTGGGGTGGGTTTTGGTATACGGGAGAGGGGAAATGCAGAGAGCTTTGCGCAGCCATCCTTTTCTATTTTTTTTTATTTCTTTTTCTTTTAGAATGTAGGCGCTGCCGCTTCTATTTCTTTGGAGGATGTAATCAGGTGCTGCCGTTCCTATGTGAGCCCGTGAACAGTACGACGATAATTTCGTAATGAACAGTAACTACGACTTTTTTGGGACTTGGGACTTAATAGTTCTAATGGGGACTCTTATACCGATTTGAGATATCCCACAGCAGACACGTATCGCCAAATTATCGGTAAAGCTCCCAGAAGATACGACTACGCTCCTTCCAGTAAGCTCTCTACCGATTCCCTTCTCTTGTGTTTGAAGTTGAACAGAGGTGTATATGTCGTCGACAAATCCATAATTATTGGGTGCAAATCACATAACAATACTAGTAGCATAAAAGATGCGATCCAATTCCAACCAAACATACGGAAACGCCAAACTAGTTGGGCGCATTCTGGTCCTAATCCTCATATAGCTGCTGTTTTCTCTACCATTGCATTTGCAGCTGCTCCAAGTGCAGCCCCATCAGCAATTGATCCTCCGGATCAATGCAGTCAAAAGCGCGATTCTACCTAAAAGCGGAAAAGGGGTAAAATCGAAAAGCGGCGAATCAAAGCGTAAAAGCGTAAGTTTTTGATGCATCATGTATAATAGTTAAAAATCTGTTAAGTACCACATGTATTATGCAAAATATGAGTGCATGGAGTTTAGACAAGTGAATATATACATTCAATTCATGTCCAAATTAAAGCAAATTCATAACATCTTAACAATAAGTTCATAAACATAAACTGTAACCCACAAACGAGTTAATAACCAAATTCTCACAACATTAGCTTCACATTCTGCCCGTGGTTTTTCAAAGGTTCAATTAGAAACATCACATATACATAATTTAGTAGTAGCATACGTAGGTAAACCAGTAGGTTATACGCCTATTGGAAATTATAAATAGTTTCCTTCATTTTGCTGGGTTGGTTTAAATTATTGAGAATATGTGAGTTGTAATTTAGCTAGAAATACCTGCTAGGTTATATGTTCAGGGTGGACTAAGAGTTGAGAAGGGGAAGCATTAACCCATCATTTAGGAGTCATAGGTGAAGTGGGGACGGGGTATGACAAGATAGAGACAGAAACTAACATGGTGTGGCGCCAGCGAGTGGCGACAGGCGATGACGAGTGCGACGGGTACTGCCGCGTTGGAGCTATCGAGTGCGACGGGCAAGAGATTCGCTGGAAGGTGGCGACGACGGTTGCAGACTTGCAGCGGCAGCGAATACTTCACTGTAAGGCCGGCTGCGCGGCGGCGCAGAGTGTGCTGGAGTGCTGGAGATGGAGGATTAGGGATTGCGGAAGAGTGGTTTGGCAACCTCAACCTAATATCCACCCCCTTTCACCCCTTTTTTTTGTCCTAAGTGATCAAAATGACGTCGTTTTTGTTTGGCGGAGACAATTTTCTCCTTTGCTTGGAATCAGATAAAAACGGTATGAAAGCGCGCTTTTATTCGATTTTAACGATTTTAACGATTCTACTAACGCTTTTGACTGATTTTGAGTAAAATACGATTTTATTAGTGATTTGAAACGTTTTCCTACCCTAGAAACGTAAAATCGTACGATTTTACGCTTTAAAGCGCGATTTTGACTACACTGCTCCGGATGCAGGAAAAGTCAAGAATAGTACTATTGGGAAGTGGGTAAAGAAGAGCGGGAAGTGGGTTTTGGTTGGGACAGCATTGGCTTTCATGATCCTCCTCATACTTGGCACGTTTTGGTACACGAGGAGGCGAAAACTCAGAGGTTTATGATTTTCTCTTTTGCTTTAAGATTTTTTAGTTTCTCACATTGGTTTGATTAATTTTTTTACTCGGCCAAGTTTTCCTCTTCTTTTAGCAGAGTTGATGGCTGCGGTGGTGGAAGATGATGGAAATGGAGGGCATGATCATTTGACGGTTTACAGCGTGGCATTGATTATGACCGCTACAAATAACTTTTCCCCTCAAAATAAGCTTGGCCAGGGAGGGTTTGGACCCGTTTACAAGGTAAAACGTTGATTCAATTAGAAGAGATTTCTTTTTTGTTTTAGGAAGAAAAAAAAACTGGGCTAAATGGTTCATTATTTTTAGTATACTGTTGCTATCACTTGAGATCAATTTATCCAGCCGATCCAACAATGTATGAGCTTTTACATTTTTGTTTTGCTTGTTCTGTTGTCGTTGTCCTATGTTTGGAGATGATGTTTGGCCTTTATGTTTACGATTTGAAGAGTGTGTTAATATAGACCTTTAAACCCGTCAATAATTGACACTCTCCTTAAAATATGGTGAAACTGATCTCTCCTGCATGCGAGCTAACTAATATGCATTATATGTGTGAATCACATAAACATGCGTGTTTTTATTTTCCTTCTTTGTTGATGGTCGGTATGTAATAACATATGTGCCTCAGGGAAAACTACCAAATGGGTTGGAAGTCGCTGTAAAGAGATTGTCAGAAACATCAGGCCAAGGATTGATGGAGTTTCGAAATGAGCTAATACTGATAGCTAAGTTGCAACACAGGAACCTTGTTAAACTTTTGGGTTATTGCATCCATGGAGAAGAGAAGATGCTAGTATACGAATATATGGCAAATAAGAGTTTGGATTCTTTTATATTTGGTAAATAATATATCTATTGATGCGTGATAGCGGAATCTCACGTATCGTGGAACTCGAACTCTTCTACGAAACTAATGAAACGCGATAAAGATAGCTAAATTACTCTAATCTACTTTTCTCTTATTCCTTGCTTAACGAAAACCAAAGAACAACATACATATTTATAGGACTACTCTCATAACCCTTTCCCTCACCAACAAGGTAACTAATCCTAACCCAACAAGTAAACTATAACTTCCTCAACAAGACACAATAAACTAATACGAATATATCAAATAACCATAATAATCTAGCAATTAACTAATAATAAGTCCCTAATTACTAAGCCCATACTAGGCCTAAGGCCCATCGAATGCCGTTCCGCATCAATCCTCCCCCCTTTAAAGAACTTCGTCCCGAAGTTCAGGCGACTTCTTAACCTGGATCGATGAAGAAGAATCGTTCCCACGAATTGATGACAACAAAGAGAGTGGATGCCCGTCGATCTCGTTTACGACGCTTCCAATTACGTTCCGGGACTTGAACGAATTCCCCACCATTGCTGCGGATTCCAGCTTCTTTCACCTTCTCACGTATTAAATGGAAGTTCCACTCAACTCCCTCTTTCCAACGGCGCTCATGATGTTGTTCTCCAGCCTGCCAACCATGCATGATATAATAATTCACAACATCCCCATTCCTCCGCTCCCTTTGCATGGAATTATAAGGACTAGTAAAATAACCATCTTTTAAACCCATCCTCATAATGGCAATGCTCCCTTGGCCGTCGATCATCTGGTAGCCATCAGTAAGTTCACGATCCCGTACACCTTCGAACCCTCCTAGCTTTCGTGACGTTGCCCTCATCACTCTCTTCGGCTCGGCTGTGGACTCCCCAACGACTTGCCCATGGCTTCCGTGGCCCACTCCGTACAGTAATGCACCCACCAATCCTCCCATACTTGGTCCGATACAGCCACGAACCAACCCTCGACTTCCCAAGATGCCTTGGGGTTCGCCGCGGTCTTTTACTTGCTTCTCCCGGTTGGTCCAATAACAAGTGGCCGATGGAAATTGCTTCTCGACGTTGGGTTGTCTCTCCCCAAAATCCCCAAAACTTGGGTTTATGCTATTTATCAAGGATTTAGAGGTGGGAACCTTCATCGGCAGTGTCATACAAGTCGGCACCCCTATGTTGGCCCAAGTTTTATTCATTACGTCAATTGGCCTTTGATCGTTGGTCGCCATCTTCATCGTCTCCATCTCCGCCAACGGATTAGCCCTGAGGTCTCCGTCACCATCGCCTCCTCCCTCCTTTCTCCCGCCGTCTTCATCACTCGAATCATCGTCGTCATCTGTGTTGTCCCTATCTTCCTCTTCACCGCAGCATGATTCCGAGTCGGATTCAGAATTGTCGTTGTCAACCTGTCCGCCACCGTTTAGCTCTTCAATTCGATGGAGGCCCTGCTTCTTGTCGTTCGTCAGAGAGTTGAGTGGCGCGGAGGCGGTTGCAGTCCTTTTGTTAGGAACAATGGTTCCCTGTAACGTGACCCATACCCCTTTGTATTTGAAGCGCATCGTCATCAGCTGCCAATTAATTGTGGCCGGGCTCAACCTCTTAAGACAATGAACTCCGAGAACGACGTGGAGTCCCCGCAGCGGCAGTTCGTACAAATCCTCTTCAAGTTGAACCCCTTGTACGTCAAGTGAGACCGTCTTGTAACATCGTTCACAAATTATGGAGTCTCCATTGGTGAACTTAACTTTGAAAGGCAGAATTGGAGTAGCTGTCAAGAACAACCTACTGGCAGCTTCACGACTCACAAAGTTGTGCGAGGATGCACTGTCCACGAGGGCAACAACTGATTCTTGATGGACGGTTGTGTTGAAGCGGATAATCGTGGGACTGTAGATGCCGGTGAGAGCGGACAATGAGATCTCTGCATCGGCCGGACTAGGAGGTTTATCCGGCGGCTCGTCAATCTCGATCGGTGGTTCTCCATCGACAAGCTGTAAAGCTTCATCCCTTGACAACCTTCTGCGTTCGTCCAGTTGCTTCTGGATGATGCAAGACCTCTCATCGATTGGCGAAAAGCATGCCCTATATGCGAGCATTGTCGAGCTCGGTTCCTCGGAACGTCTCTTCATTCCTTTGCTTGGCAGGAATGGCCGATCCTCTCTCAACGGTTGCTGGACAAGAGCAGTTGATGAAGCGTGCCCTGGGAGCGATTTCGAGCTCGGTTCTGTCGAACCAGGCTCTGATACCAATTGATGCGTGATAGCGGAATCTCACGTATCGTGGAACTCGAACTCTTCTACGAAACTAATGAAACGCGATAAAGATAGCTAAATTACTCTAATCTACTTTTCTCTTATTCCTTGCTTAACGAAAACCAAAGAACAACATACATATTTATAGGACTACTCTCATAACCCTTTCCCTCACCAACAAGGTAACTAATCCTAACCCAACAAGTAAACTATAACTTCCTCAACAAGACACAATAAACTAATACGAATATATCAAATAACCATAATAATCTAGCAATTAACTAATAATAAGTCCCTAATTACTAAGCCCATACTAGGCCTAAGGCCCATCGAATGCCGTTCCGCATCATCTATATATTACAATTCTGTGATGCCTTCTTCCTACTAACGGCCATGGGAGTTTGTTTCTTGTACCTCTTCTGCACATGACAGACGAATCAAAGAGATCACAATTAGATTGGAATGAGCGTTTCAATATTATTGAAGGAATAGCTCAAGGGTTATTGTATCTTCACAAGTACTCGAGAGTGAGGATCATACACAGAGATCTAAAAGTTGGCAACATACTACTAGACGAAAAACTTAATCCAAAGATCTCAGATTTTGGATTGGCACGTATTTTCTATACAAATGCTTCCAAAGCTAACACAAACAGACCAGCCGGAACATTGTAAGTCATCCTGAGTTCCTCTACTCTTCACATTTCATTACTCTTTGCCCAGACGAGCAACTTTACATCAAACTAGATGTATGGTGCAGCGGCTATATGTCTCCAGAGTACATCATGGAAGGTGTTTTCTCCACAAAATCTGATGTCTTCAGTTTCGGCATTATGTTGCTGGAAATTGTAAGCGGAAGGAAAAACTATCGTCTCATTCAACAAGATCCACAGATCAACCTCGTGGGATATGTGAGTTTCTAGTTAAAACTTGCAATTGGAATAAAATTTGCATTTGGAAGAAGATTGTTCTAATTAAAAACTAGCTTGATTACTCACTTGTTTGTTACAAATGTATATGCAGGCATGGAAGCTATGGGAAGAAGACACCCCATTACAGTTAATGGATCCATTCTTGAGCAATATCGATAACTATAAGGACCAGATACTTAGATGTGTTACCGTAGGGCTACTCTGCATTGAATACAAGGCAGAAGACCGACCATCAATGTCAGAGGCAATATCAATGTTAAATAATCAAGTTGCATCATTGCCCATACCAAAACAACCTGGCTTTACGACGAGGCCGAGAAGTATTGATTCTGAGAGAAGGAACCTGCCAAATAAATGTTCAGACAATGAGGTCACCTTGACAACAATGTGTGCTCGATAGGTAGACATCGAGGATTTAATAAATTTTTTCTTCTTCTTCTTTGCTTCTAGTATGGATCTTAGTAATTAGTATAGCAATACGTGGTGTTCTCTGAAGGAAATACGAGGATCAGAAGTCATAACCAGATAAAAATATTATTTATATTAATTTGATATATGTGTTAATTTTCCCTATGTTAAAAGGAACTAATTTATTGGATATCTTCGATTGAGTCATTAGAGTTTGACCAAACGGAAACTACAGATCTAAAGACCAAATTGGCTTAAAGAGAAACTATAATATAATAGGGAACTTCTAGTCCTGGATTATATTACTAGACGAGAATCTGAAATCCCAAAATCTCGGATTTTGGTATGACACACATTTTCAATACTAATGCATTGGAAGATAGCACAAATAGGCTCGTCGGAACTCGGAACATGATAAGTAGCTTCTCGGATGTCCTCACCCACCAAACTATCTTTACTTCAGTGGTGGTCACATTTTTTTATCATGTATAAGTTGGAAGATCCCTAACGTATTAGGATTGCTTGAAAATTTAGTAATTAATTACATCTAACTATGTGACACAATGATTATATGTCTCCCGAGTATGCCATGGATGAAACATCTTTATTTTGTGTTGTATGTATCTTAATTACCCTCCCTACAAAATATAGAATTAACTTAATTATTGGAAATCTAAAATCTTTTGAATTATAAAATCTTTTGAATTAAATCTAAAATATTTAATTTTTTCCTGTTTACAAGAGTGGTCTTCAAACTTTTGAACTGACTGGAAAATCACTCTGCCTATTATCGCTATGTGCAGAGAAGTTATTAGCCGAGTTTATACCATCAGATACACCAATTGAGATGAACGACATGGAAACGAGGACAATCGGGGACAATACCATTTGACGGTTCATAGTATGGCATCGATAATTACTGCAACAAATAACTTCTCTTTGCGGAATAAACTTGGACAAGGAGGTTTTGGGCCTGTATACAAGGTAAGTTCTTCCATCGATGCCATTTATACGTACTTCTCATAGACTTTGGTTTACAAATTCAAGCTAATATCATTGTTATTTTAGGGAAAGTTGTCGGAATGACTCGAAGTAGCTGTGAAGAGGTTATCAAAAACATCGGGTCAAGGGATGGTTGAGTTCAGAAATGAGCTCATATTGATAGCTAATTTACAACATAGAAACCTGGTCAGACTTCTGGGTTGTTGCATCCATGGAGAAGAGAAGATGTTGGTGTACGAATATATGCCCAACAAAAGCTTGGATTCTTTTATCTTTGGTAAATTTGACAATATCATGATGTGTAGCATATTTAAAGTTGTGTGTTTCATTCTTGATTTCGTGAATGTTCTATGTGACGATATGTGGGTCTTGTATTTTTTCGTTCATTACACAGATGAATCGAAGAAGTTGTTTTTAGATTGGAATAAGCGTTTCAACATTATTAAAGGAATAGCTCAAGGATTGTTGTACCTTCACAAGTACTCTAGGGTGAGGATCATAGGGACCTAAAAGTTAGTAACATACTATTGAGAACTTGAGCCCTAAGATCTCAGACTTTGGAATGACACGTATTTTCAGCACAACAAGGATTGTTGTACCTTCACAAGTACTCTAGGGTGAGGATCATAGGGACCTAAAAGTTAGTAACATACTATTGAGAACTTGAGCCCTAAGATCTCGGACTTTGGAATGACACGTATTTTCACCACAAATGAATGGGAAGCTAGCACAAACAAGCTTGTCGGAACATAGTATGTGGTCCCCAAATTTCCCCCACTCGTCATACTATCATTACTCTAGTTGTGGTCAAGTTCTTGATATAAGTTCAAAGGATAGCTTACGTAATAGGATTAATTAAACCTTTAGCAACTAATTTTGTGGTGTAGTGGTTATATGTCTCCGAAGTATGCTATGAATGGCACATTCTCCACCAAATCAGACGTATTCAGTTTCGGAGTCATGGTTCTAGAAATAGTGAGCGGCATGAAGAATTATGGCATCATTCAGCTCGACCCCCCTATCAACCTTGTCGGATATGTGAGTTACTCTCTTTGTTTTCTCTGTTGCCTTATTAAGTAAAAAATAATTGAACTTGAGGAAAAACATTATGGAATGTTTCTTGTATCAACTGGCGTTCCATATTTCAAATGCTCCTTGCATGCATGGAAGCTATAGCAAGAAGGCGCCACATTACAATTGATGGATCCAACATTGACGAAATCCAATTCTATTAAGGACCAAATGATAAGGTGCATCAATATCGGGTTACTCTGCGTAGAATATAATGCCCATGATAGATGTTTGAACCTAACTGGGTGTAGGAGTGAGGTTCAGGGAAGATGTGGGTCAAGAAGAGTAAGCTAGAGGAAAATCAGGAACTTTGGGGGAGAGTTTGAGAGAATTCCCGTTTAGAGAGAGAAGTTTGATGTTTATAGAGAGAGAGTGGCTAAAATGCGATCCCCCTCACCCACCGGAGTAAATGCCATATTTATAGGCTACATGGTGGTGGGTGAGTGGGTGGATTACATTATGGGACCTTGACTCTGATGTGACCACTGACATGTCGGGGATTTAGGCCATCCCCCTACCTAGGACATGTCAGGGGTGTACCTACGACTGTGTCACTGATCCCAACGCGGCTGACCCTCGGGAAGTGTGAGGGGAACTTCCTATGGCTTCGTGGCTTACAACGCGCCTGAGCCTCCGCGCCTTGATACTTTCCACTCTCGCGCAGCTTGTGAGGAGCTTTGGGTCTTCGCGCGTTGGTTCTATCCGCTCGCGCGCGCGTAGTGGCGCGCCCTTAACCCTTCATGCGCGCCTTAGACCTTCGTGCGCGCCTTCTGTCGGCGTGTCCTGCCTTGCACAGCTAGGTCCGAGTCACATGCCCAACAATTGCCCCCCATCAGAGGGTGTTCTGAGAACGCCCTCTGTTTAGGTCTTCGCTTGATTGACTCGGGCCTGGGCGCGGTTCCCGGGGTTCCTCGTGTGCGCCTTGCCATTCCGTAGCCGCGCGAGAGGCTCTGTTGTAGTTGCCTGATAGCGCGCGATCTCCGGGCGATTCTGATTCGCTTGAGATGCGTGCGCTCGGTCCTTGTGAGATCTTGTGAGATTCAAATCATCGATGGCACGGCGATTTGGTCGAGCGTGATTATCGCGGCTGCGATTGTTCCTCGCGTGTTCCGTAGCTTGCGCGCGATGCTCTATTGTGGTTGCCTGATTCAGCGCGGTCTTTGGGGTCCGGGATTCTGAATCACGTGCGCGATCTTTGCAAGATTTTTTCTTTTTCCTCGCGGGTGTGCCATGCCCCCCAGGCGTTGTGCGTAACTAGTTACGTCAGCGGCTAGTACCTACTTCGAATAGGTGTCCACGTGTCCTTACCTGGTTTGTCCGTTTGGGCGGGCGAATTTCGAAATTCGAAACGTCTGACGGTTGCGATCTTCGAGGTTACTTTAACCCTTCGTCTTTCCTCTAATAACTATAAGTATCGACCCGATTGGGGAGTGGGATTCATTCTGCCTCATTCTTCACATCTGAGTTCTGCTCTTTCTCTCTCGTGCTCTGGTTTATCGCCGAGATTCCTCTCCTTCTTTTACAATCTTAAATCCCCAATCGTTGTTCTTATCTGTTGTTTCTTGCTGTCATGGACAACATCAACACCAACGTCGGCGAGGTTGAGATCGTACAAGACGAAGAAGGTAATGTTTCCCCACTTTCACGTATTTCTTCTGATCCGTCGCTGGAATTAGCGAATTCCGGCGGCGAGGACGGCGGTGGGTCCGGTGACGGCGGAGTTCCGTCGACGCCGTCGACCAGAGTCGACTCGGATCCTGATTTCGACCTCAGAGAGATGGAGGCCGATGAATATGCAGTTGTGTCCGCGGGCAAGGGGCCGAGTACGCAGCCCCAGGGCGTCTTGATAATCAGACGCGACCGCGGTGGGATGTCCGGGGTCGCGGAGGGTGCTGGTACTGCGAACGCGGCCGAGCGCGAAGATTCCGATACAGAGTCGGCGCCGATAATCGCCGAGCCCGTCAACATGGTGCGCGTAACCGAGGCGATGAGTCGCCTTGGTCCTCGTTGCGTGGGCGCGGTCTACACCGTCCTTGATTGGGCGGAGATGTGGGGCGACCAGCCGGCTCCGCACGACAACTTGCTGCGGGGACCTGACCATTCTTCAATCTACTCGCGCGAGGACGTTGAAGAAATTGTGCGCGGGTTGGGTTTGCCTCCGCACTGGGAGTACGCGGTGCCTTCTATTAGGAGCACAGTCGGTAATTGCCCCCCAGGGTGGTTCGGGGTATACAGCGAGTATTGGGTGATGGGCTTCAAGTTTCCCATCGACCCGCTGTTGTGCGCCTTATACAGGCGGCTCAACTGCTCGGTTGGGCGCCTCTCTCCGTCCATCATAATGCATGTCTCGTGCTTGCGCCTTGCTTGTAAGCGGCTTAACATCCAGCCCACGTACGGGCTGTTCCGCAAGTTTTACAAGATCAAGGAGCCCAGCAAGACGAGTGATTGCTTGTCCATAAAGCGGCGCGATAACAGGCCTGATGGGTTCGTCTACGGCTCTCCCAAGCTTAAGAAGACGTGGTTTGAGCGCTTCTTCTACGTTAAGCCGGTGCCGGGGGAGTGGGCGAGTGAGTACGTGGATGAGCCCACTGTGTGGAAGAAGGGTAGTACCCAGAAGTTTGAGTCTCGCGTTGGCGCGTATGATCGGCTTGAACAAGAGTATCAAGCGTGTTTGGATCAGAAGATGAATCTTTATACGCGCGGAGTTCGCGAGGCCATTTTGCAAGAGCTTTTCGCTGATGGTTAGTTATTTTCTTTTCCCTTTGCATTCTGTCATATTTAACCGGTTTCTTACGATATTTTGGTGCAGGTGTCGATTTCGCCGACCTCGCGAGCATGATGTCGGTGGACAACGTCGCGAAGGCACCCCGAGCCTCGCGTAAAGGGAAGAAGAAGCAGAAAGAGGGAGCGCAGAGTAGTAACGCGCCAGCTGCCAGCACCAAGAGGAAGGATCGGGGGCAGCCTAGCAGCGCTCCCGCGAGTGGCGGGAAAAGGAAGGAGTCGGCATCGGAGAGGGAGCCGTCTGATGGGAACCCGAAGAAGGT